AAAATTACAATATCTATACTATTATTAAAAGAACGAATAGCCCATTTTCTGAAAATTTCATTGGACCTTTACTACCCCTATTTGTCTAACCACGTAGTGAGCAAATGAAGGACATGATTATCATTTTTCTAACTCACTGTAGCACTTTCTCCCTCACCCAAACGGTTTCTCTCAAACCGAAAAAAGACCTTTGTCTCCCACAAAGTCTCCTACTACTCTGTTTCATCTCCTACTTCGCCCTAAATCTGATCCACTTTTAGTATCTCATTTACTCTAACCAGATAGTGAGCATATGGAGGGTATTATTGTCCTTTATTACTGTCACATCTACTGTTCCTCTCTTGGTCCAACAGTTATCTCTTAGAGAAAGGAGTCCCTCTCTCTCACAAATCGGATTCATCTTCAGTCCACCCCTAATCTACTAGTAGCTCCACGTAGGGGTGGACTGAATGGATATAAATACTTACATTACCTCAGGGCAAATTTGAAAATTGAGGGCATTAATAGTCCAGCATTACCTTTCCTCTCAACCGGTTGGTCTCCTCAAAAAGACTGATGCCAAATTCACAGGTAGGATGTGGTTTATAGGGGGGCTATTAATAGATTAGGAGGGGGTTGAAAATTTAATTTCTGACGTGGTTTGCAGTCATTTTCTCCCTATTTATTTCATGTCAAATTTATTAATGTTCTTGTTCAAATTTGGTTCAATGTCCTATTTTGAAATTTGTCATGAGTAGACCTGTTCATGGGCCGGGCCGGGCTCGGGCTAGGTTTTTAGTCTTCATAAACATTATTTTGTTAGGCTCGAGCCCGAGCCCGACCCAACCAATGGGCCTATAACATGGGCCCAATCCCGGCCCTAATAAAAAGCCTGAAGCCCGGGCCCGAGCCTGAAGCCTGACCTAACAGAAGAACTCACCGCCGGTGACTATGTTCACCGGTGCTGAGTTCGCGTCTGTGTGTGTGTGTGTGTGTGAGAGAGAGAGAGAGAGAGAGAGGATTCCCTAGCCGGTGCTCAGTTCGTGGTGAGATGCGATTTTGACAGTGAAAAGAGGAATCAGTTCACGTCTGAGAGAGAGAAAGAGGACTCACTGCTGCCACTACTGGTGCTTGAGATTTGAAAGAGAAGAAGTGAGAAGAGGAATGAGAGAGAGAGAAAGATAAGACTTATTAGGGTTTTTGGGTTTAGTCTATAGGTTGGGGTCTAGAGGTAATGTAAGTATTTTTTTTTTCCATTCATTAAGTATTTTCATGACAACCTGTCACGTGCATTGCCCTTTTTACTAGTTATATCTGTATGAATGAATTGAAGTAATACATTTGTGCGTGATCTATTTATTTAATATTTATCCCTACCAGTTCAAGAGTTAATAAAATTTTTTAAAATTAAGCAAAATCCTATTCCATTGCCGGGAGTCGAACCCGGGTCTCTCGGGTGAAAGCCGAGTATCCTAACCAACTAGACTACAATGGATTTGTTATTATATAAGATTGATCCTTTCACTTAGTAGAATAGCATCTCTAAAATAAACTTATCTAATTTACGTAGTGGACCAGAAACTATGATTAGATGGCCCTAACACCTAAAATTGATAGAATGAGCATATACAACACTCAGCACGATCATATGCATGCAGGAAAAGGGATATAATAGAGATGATACTCTTTCAATCCGATTTTCAGCTCATCAATAGAACCGAGCAAAAACGGATACGAACCCATTAATTAGTAGCTTAAACATTATTGTAAAACTCGATATAGTTTAACCAACAATGTTCAAAAGCTTCTACTAATAGTATAAATTAATTTTGAAAGAATAAGAATATACTAATTGAATTTAGATCTCCTTAATTGCATTGAATCTGAATTTGGGTTTGGACAAAAAATAAAAAGAAACCATTTACAGACCTTGGTGGCATTAGATGGGTCACACTGGTTGTTGTTTCATTAGTGTGGGAAGTGCGCAACCCCAACTCCTAGTCCTAAGGGTGTCAATAATGGACCGGTTTTGGATTGGACCCCATTCAGTTCAAAATCAATTTAGACGGATTAGACGGACCAATAAAACATATTGGATTGGATTAATTTGATTCAAAACATTTATTAAATTAGATTAGGCCTGGTCCATCTGTAATAAATTTATATTGGATTGGGTTGGATTAAGTTAATATCTTATCAATTGATATAAGATAAGAATATATGAGTCTAGATTCAAGTTTGATTCTTATCGAGTTCGAATATCAACATAAGCTCAATTAATTATTTAAATTCAAGCCGATGACTGATTGATGGCTGATTTAGACTATATTTTTTTGTCATACTTGGTTTATAAGCTTTCTATGTGGGTTAAGCTCGAACCTAAACAGTCACTTTGTACATGTTTATAGGACATGCTACCAAAATGCTTATACTTACTCCGTGTGACCAATAAGGTGGCGCTCATTAAGGGTACAAATGAACTAGATCTGATCTAATCCTATTTTGTCAGATTTGGGTGTTCTTTCTATCAGATTTTCGGATTGGGTAATAGGATTCATTGAAAATCAGATCGAATTCAAATCACCCCTATCCAATTCAAAATGATCTGATTCAAACAGTTGAAGAATGTGGTGGTGATGTGTGTGTTATTTATTTATTTATTTATAAATATATTTATATTACATTTTTATCATTTTGATGAAAATAGTTGAAGAAAATATTTATATTTTTGTCTTTCTTTATATAAATAATTGTTATATTTTTAAACTTTTTTAGAAATTAAATCGGAGCAGATCATATTCGGGTATTTGACATTATTAACTGATTCAAGTTTGAATCAGTGTTTGTGTCAGATCAGATTGGATCTACTATTTGTACTGTCTGATTGGATTCAGATATGCTCTCATCGGAATCCGTTCCAATCTATTTGCATCTAGTGTTCATTCGTGGATAAGAAAGGATGGTTGTGTTTTAAAACCATATTAATTAGCACTTTCTATTTCAACAAAATGGTAATTTACTTACTAAATGTGACCACTAAATAGCAATAAATAGAAAAATAATAAGGAAAATTGTCTAAAACCCACCATGAGTTTTCAGCATTTCTTTTAAACTCACCACAACTTTTCAAAACGTCTAAAACTCACCATGTCAGTAAGCTTTTATTTTCCTAAACTCACCTTCTGTTAGTGCACCGTTAATGTTTTTTAGCAGAGGTGTCCACATCAGCATAAATAACAATTTTTATGACCAAATCACCCTTGAATGGCGAGTTAGAGGAAAAGGGTCTTTTTCATTTTTCAATTTTCTTTTTTTTTACATTTTTAGTGTTTTGTTATAATTTCTAATGTTTTTTATAATTTCTGTTTTCTTTTTACTTTTTTCTATTTTTTTTACCTTTTTCTACTTTCTACAATCTATAAAATTTCCTGTATTTTTTGTTATTTATTTTCAATTTTTGTGTTTTTCTAGAATTTTTGGTGTTTTTTTATAATTTTTATTTTCTGATTTTGCTTTTCAATTTCTATATCTATAACTTGAAAATAATTTTTATTTTGTGTGCAATTTCTATAATTTTTTATATTTTTTTTGCAATTTTTGTGCTTTTATATATTTTATATTTGAAAATATTTTTTGAACTTTTTCCTTTTTTTCATGTCTAAATATTAAAATATATTATATATTATATTTTTCTATGAAAGTTAAAATAGTAATATATTAATAGTCATTAGTCTCTTTAACATCAAGTTAGTGACATGGTGAGTTTTTGACAATTACCCAAATAATAAAAAAATTTAGCAACAACAAGAATACAAGATTTACATACTTAACATGGGAGAGAATAAAAAAATAAGTAATAGGAGATTAAAGAAAGAGATCAAACTTGAAACAACAGTAATAATTACCAAAGTGAAATGAACTGTCAAAGTATTATGTTAAAGCTTTTTCTCCAAAGCTACATTCTTCCAAAAAGACACTAAAACCAATCTCACTATAAGATCCATGTACACAAAAGCCAAAACCTCCATCAAAATATGGGCTCAATTACATGAACCCTATTTAGCCATTTCTTTTTGTCTATTGTTAAATTATAATGCTTAAATCAGTGTTTTTTTTTTTACTTTTACCCATGCTTTTCGATATATCCTTTCAATTACTTACTTCACTTCTTATAAGTGTCTCAATGATCTTGTATGCTGATGACCAAATTATTTTATCTACTTTGGTAGAGAACAGAAAAAAAAAAACAAAAAATATCACAACTCTGGTGGAGAACAAAAACCTCTCATCATAAATGTCCCAAAGTATAAATTTACAGAGCCCAGATTTTCTATTCACTTTTTCTACCCATCGTGAATTGCATCCAAACATCTCTCAATTCATGATAGAGATGTGTGGCTCCAAGTCATGGCGGGTTGAGAGTGGGTAGAAAAAGTGAGTAGAAAATTCCGAATAAAACTTACATATTTACAAGATCCTTTTCCTTCTGCTAAGAAAAAAAAACTTTTAATTTCCAAATAAAAAATTACTCAAAAAATAATATTACTTTAAGGCGTAATTCTAACATCATGAGTAATCTCAGGCCATGGCCAGTCATCTGAAACATAGATGAAAATGGGGATGTGTGACTGCAATTCAAGACGGGCAGAGTATGGCAGAGAGTAGTGGACAGGAAATCCGATTTGATGTGATGTCTAGGTCCTCCAGCCCTCAAAGGAAAACTCTTTAATAGGAAACGATGGTGATGGATTGAACTTACTGCAGAATATATAATTAAGAACAGTGGTTTGGTGGTGGGTTATGTGTTTCCATCAAATTAGGGTTTTCTACTCAACCCGGAGAGCTTTAAAATCCTGTCTCCACAAGTATACGAAACAAGGAAACTACAAACTAAGAGAGAGAGAGAAACTCCTTTGTTGGATGCGTGTGGGAGACCCACCATGTAGTTGTTGCGTCGAATGCATGAGACGGCACAGATTCAAACATGTACAGCCTATAAAAGGGTGGGAAATTAAGCACCGTTTCCTGCATGAACTGAATTTCATCCCACAACAATTCAGCTTGAAAACCGCTCGCGATCGGCTTCAAATGATGGAGGGTCGTCGCAGTTCTGTTTCGAGGCTATTTTCTGTGTGTGGTGTTCTTGTAACCCTTTTCATTCTCTTCTCATGCACCGGCTGCTCAGGCGCAAAACTCAATCCCTGTTCCAAAACCAGCACGGAGTTTATCAAGAATTCATGTAGACGAACTTTGTACCCACAAGTGTGCGTCGAGTCCCTCTCTGCCTATGCCAGCACCATTCAGGAGAGCCCTAAACTATTGGCTCAAGTGGCTCTCTCTGTCAGCCTGAAGAGCGCGAGATCGACTGAGAAGTTAGTGTTGAACTTGTCGAAAGTGAATGACATTAGGCCAAGGGAAGCGGCAGCCTTGATGGACTGTGTAGAGACCATGGGCGACTGCGTGGAGGAGCTCCGGCAGTCTCTGCAGGAGATGAAACATCTGGGCGGCCCCGATTTCGCTCTAAAACTGAGTAACATAAAGACATGGGTAAGCGCAGCTCTGACCAATGAAGATACATGTAGGGACGGCTTCCAAGACAAATCCATGAATGGAAATATCAAGAATACAATTACCAAAAGTATTGACTATGTAGCCAAGCTTACCAGCAACGCCTTAGCGCTAATCAACAATATACAGCCATCCAATACTCCCAACTCACCCTGAGTTCTGTTCTATCTCAATATATATAAATGATTTAGTAATATCTAATATGGTTTGAATTGATCTCCCTCCCCTGTAGAATTATCAAATATGTATTCGACTTTGATCTCTGTCACCCACCCAGCTTGCTAAAAGAACTCTTTTTTTTTTTTTTTGATAAAAGGTTGTTACAAGAATTGTCTTTGGTCTACCTGTAATTCTGTAAAATGATTTATAGCCTTCAATGAATTGTATAAAAAATATATGGAGATGTACATAAGAGTTGAAATGTGTTGACTGTTGAGAATCTTTGAATAAAAATATAAATTTAATGATCAGAATAAAAACATTCCGTTGCCGGGACTCGAACCCGGGTCTCTCGGGTGAGAGCCGAGTATCCTAACCAACTAGACTACAACGGATCTGCTTTAAAGGTTGTTTCTCAGATATTATACATTTCTTCCCAGTTACTAATCATTTAGTCCCCCCCGCCCCAACAAAACGGAAATATAAAATACAGTCTTTCAAATCAAATACACTGTGTAGGAATTTCCTTGGGTTGTGTTTGGTTTAATCGTTGAAAGAAAAAGATATTAATTTTTCTTTCAAATCAAACACAATCTTTAGGAATGGAAATTTTCCCCATTACCACGAGGAACCTAACTTCCCCGACCTGATGGGGTTGGGGATGGGGATTCTTTTGGTGGGGCGGGGACGGGGACAGAGATGGAGATTAATGGGAATCCCCGATTAGGGTTGGGGTCAGGGATGGAGATTGAGGTCCCCGTCCCGACCCCAATTATATATTTATATATTTAAATGTTATTTATATTGAATGCATGTATATAAATAAATATATATATATATATATATATATATATCAAAACATATTTAAAACATTATTTGTAATTTAAAATTTTTATTTATTTTAAGTAAATTTATTTTTCAAAAAAAATACTATTATCTAAAAAAATAGGGATTCGGGTCTCTGCAAGGAACCCATCCCCGTCGGGGATCAGGAATGAAGGACAAATTTTATCCCCAATGGGAATCGAGGACAAGGATGAGGGTTAATTTCAAAATTGGGGGCGGAGACGGGAAATATAATCTTCGCCCCGAACCCACCCCGTTGCCATTCCTAACAGTCTTAATGAATCAAAATCTAGTTGATATATAAAAAATACGTTATAACCTTCATGCAATTATTTAACCTTCTAATTACAGTTTAGAAGAGTAATAATATAAGTATCCCATATGCATTAATCATCAAAACCAGCACTGTAATAAAGGTGCAGCAATAGGTAAATTATGCTATGATATATACTCCATCCTCAACCAAATGATTGTTCAACATTGAAGGAGGTGGTGTTACTGCTTTCAAAACAACGAAACCATGAAAAAACATACTATAAATGACAGATTCTAACTAAAAGTGACCGCACCATATACATCAAGCTCAAATCTGTTGCAAACCAGCATTAAAATGTGGACATAATTTCCCATGGTTCTAAATATTTGAAACACTAAGGAGGTGTTCCCCAATGTGAATGAATGATTTTGTTTTCTAAAACAAAATCAATACATTTTTGCATTTTGATTCCATCAATAATGTGTATTGGGCAGTTAAAACTTGCAACAAAATCAGCATATCTTGGATATTTTTTTCATACCCATGATTTTATAGACCTCTATTGAGACTTTTTTATGTTTTTTGGTCCAATTGAATAGTTTCTCTGATCATGTTGCTTTCCTTACTGTCCAAAGGCAATCCCTTTAGTGGGGGAACGGAGGCTCATAGCTATTATACTTTGATGATGATAGCCCTCCTTCCATTGCTATATATTCATTGACTAACTCAACTAATGTCCAAAATTAATGCCTGTTCCATGAATTTCTGGAACGCCAAAAAAATTGGGTGTCTACACATTCAACAGCCTCCGCTATCCATAGAGTTCTCCCTATCTGACATGTTAGTCCATATGACTTTCATGTAACAGTAACAGTGCTGAAGGCATGAGTATATGAATTAATAATGCATCACATGGATAGAGAGAAGGTCCTGTAGAACAGAGTGGGGTTCTGCTATTTTTCTAAGAATAATAAATTGTTAAAAAGTTTATAATTAAGAACAATAATATATTTTTGGGTTCAACTATGATAGAAGAAATACATGATACCCCCAAAACTTTATTAACTAATATCAAAAAAAGCGGTAACCAAACAAGTGGTATTTATCAAAATTAGTGAGGAGTTTTAATTGGTCAAAGCATTTCCTGTATCACGGCTTTCTCGCACTATAGATTTTCCCTATAATTTTATATCTATCATAGAAACAACCTGTACCTGTCTCTATATATTTTACCAATAGCAAACCAACAAGGACTGGTAGCATCTACATTCATTGTCTACGGCACTAGAAATTCCATGGGCAGATGCTCAATTATTTGTTTTGGAAGATGCTATAATTTCCTTATCAATCAAATCAAGGATTTAAATACCAACTGATTTGGGCTCAGTTGGTAGGGTCTCTTGCTCGTATATATTAAATATATGTGCACTATTCATTAAAATGTACTGAGATAATGTCATAAAATAGCTCAGCACCCCACAATCGTTATGATCAATTTCTTTTATTTCATCATCTATTTTGAGTTTTTAACTTAATGTTGTCATAGAGCTTTTACAGACACACATGGAATTTTCAAAAATACAAGAAAATCCGGAGCTAAATTGTCTGAATGAGCATGCAATATAAAACTAGCACCTTAATTACACTTACAAAGCCCAAGAAAACAACCCTCTTTGGGTAGCCATGGCTGGGCTTTTCGAAACCAAAGCCCAAGAAAGGTGACACTTTGAAAATCCTAATCCACTAATCCAGTAAAAGCTGAACCCTAGATAGTGGTGCAACTTGGGTTGGTCTCATTTAGCATTTTACATTGTTGATGCTCAGAATGGGTTGAGGACAATTTTGTAGCTTTGCTTCCTTGACGAGTTGGCAGATGGAAGAGTCTAAAGGTTGCTAAGGACGAGGACCAGTGGAGTCCGAGGTCTGTTGTGGCTAAGGACCTATGGGGTTCGAGAACTGTTGAGGCCGAGGACTAAGGGAGTCCAAGGTCTGCTATGGTCAAGGACCTGTGGGGTCCGAGAACTACTAAGGCTGAGGACCAATGGAGTCCGAGGTCTATTGTGGCCGAGGACCTATTGAGGCCATCCTATAGGGAAGGGAACGTTAGAAGCCCTGGATCGGTGCTCGAGGCGGGGACTCCGACGGTCAAGTTAGTAGGAGTGTGGCAAAGAGGGCGGACGAGGCCTGAGTAGAGTAGCTTAGACGAAGTCACCAAGAAGCTAGAGAGCTTGGTGTAGCGGGTTTCCAGCGTAGATTCTAGATTATAACCTTAAGGGGGTTAGCTCCTATTTATACTTGAGACCGTCTAGAAGTAGATGGGCACGGACGGTCGGGATGCGATCTGGCCCTGGGAGCGCAGACATCTGAGGTCGCCGCATGTGGTCACGCCAATGGTCCCACGCTATGCATTTTCCTCAGCTACGTGTCGGTGTACTACGGGCCTGCCTAAAGTGCCTACATCATTTGCCCCCCACTCTTGAGGCCACGGTGGAGGTCTTAGTTGAGGACCTCGACTTTAGCCAAAGAGAGTGTCTCATCCTTGCTGGGAAGTGCTGAGTGGCCTTTTATGGCGAGGGCCTCGGCTACGGATGAGCTGGTGAGAGTGGTTTTGGGGCATGGAGGTGCTGGCCTCAATTTTGGAGATGTTAAGGATAGCCCAACTTGGGAGCGTGGAGACGTCGGCTCTGGCTTAGGCTTCATTGGAAGTAGTCTAGCCCATGAGCGTGTAGACGTCATCCTCGGCTTCGAGGGGATTTTGTGTAGCCGGAAGCGTGTCGTTAACCACTTCGGAACACTAGTTTAGAGATTTATAAATTTTTTCAATCCTCATGTAACCTTAAACAACGTAGTACGTGGTGAGGAAGGGGTCGAACCCACAGGGAAGCAAGAATAAAAATTATTATTATTTTTGTTCAGACAAATAAAAGGAAAATGGATCTAGGATTTGCAGAAAATAAGAAAATAAAATTTATTAATGCTAAAATTAAAGGTTCGGAATTAGACAAGACAATAATTAATGTTCAGAAATTAAAGAACACTGAAATCAACAAAAGAAACAAATAAAAGTGATCCAATATTTGGATCTAGTGGCGGTAGCTGTTTGGGAAGACGCAATACAAGCTTTTTCCTTTTGTTCAGCCCTCGAACCCCTCGAGACACCTTAGCCTTGAACCGGACGAATTTAGATCTGCAAAACACATAAACAAACAGAAATTAAATCTAAAAGATTGCTGGAATAAAAATAATGTAAAAGAAAATAAAGAAAATGAAAATGATGGTTGATCAAATCTAGTGGCGACAGTTGTAGATTGGCTGGACTGCTTATAGGAATCCCTCCTAACAAGATCTGGGCGTCCTTAACTTCTACAACCCTTGAACTCCTCAAGAAACCTTAGCCTTATGAACTAGGTGAATTGACCAACCTAAAAGAAAATAAAGAAAATAAAAGGGATGGTTGATCAAATCCAGTGGCGGTAGTTGCAGATTGGTTGGACTTCTTGCAGGAACCACTCCTGACAAAATTTGGGCGTCCTCCTTCTTCAACCCTTGAACTCCTCAAGAAACCATAGCCTTGGGAACTAGGTGAATTGATCAACCCCTTTTCTAGGGCTCTTGGGGTCCTTTTTATAGAGAAGGGTGGACAAAACTGGGATTAGAGAGAAAGAGAGGGGCGGTAATTGGGTTTTTGAAGAGTTATGGGCGCCCTAGGGTTGAGAATGGAGGGTTAGGATTGTTCTAAGGTGATCCGAAGGATGAGAAGAGAAGGAGAGGGCGCCCAATATTATGTATGTCTGAGATTTGGGCTCCTAAGATTGGATGGTGGAGATTTAGGCACCTAGGGCTGAAAGGTGGAGATTAAAAGGAGTGGGTGGCGCCCTAGAGTGAATGGCTGAGATAGAGAGTGAAATAAATGGCTGGGATCTAGTGGCTAAAGGTTGAATGGTGGGGATTAGAAGTTAGGTAGTGCCCTAAGGTTAGAATGCTAAAGAAAGGGCACCCTATAATGGAG